GTCGCGGGGGGGTTGGGCAAGAGAGCAAGGGAGTCGAAGGCAATGCCGGGAGGGGGCTTGAGGGGGGGGATAGAGTACGCAGAGACTGTGCAGGGTAGTGTGCGTTGAGTCTACGTTTGCCAAGATAGTGTGTCGCGGAAATGAAGGGCAAACGCCGTGGTTGGGGTGGGCCGGGATGGCTCCGGGGGGGAGAAGCTTTTGCCCGGGTGGAGTCCGCAAAGGGCTTTGCAGCTCCCGAGTGTTCTCTTACCCTCTCTGCCTCTCACGTCCCCTCCCTTGGACCTGCCGCGTTTTCGCATGTCGTTTTCCTTTCCTCCCAGGCCTTCGCTCCTGAGCTCCTCTTGGTCTCCTCCGGGTATGATGCCGGCTACCTCGATCCCCTCGCCACCATGATGCTTTCCTCGGAGCACTTCCGAACCCTGGGGCAAAAACTGAACGGGCTGGCGGAGGACGTGTGCGACGGGAGGATCGTCTACGTGCACGAGGTAGGGGCGGGGGGGTAAGAGAGCGCCAGGTCAGAGGGACCGGGGGGGTGCCCTAGCATCGACGCACATGACCTCCTTTTGACACCCCGTCTCCCTTTCTGTGCTCGGATGCAGGGCGGGTATTCGGACCTGTACGTGCCGTTCTGCGGGCATGCGATCGTGGAGGAACTGACAAAGAGACGGACTGGAGTGCGAGATTGCATGCTAACGGATGTCCACCAGTGGGGGTACCAAGAGCTGCAGCCGCACCAGGTAGGCGAAGGCGTAGAGAAAGCGAGGGAGCATGGAGGTATGCGTACTGAGAAAATTCATATCCCGGTGTACAGGATGCCGTAATCAAGAAATGCGAGGCGCTGGTGACGGCCCTGAAGCGGCGGATGGCAGGAATGAAATGATTTTGTAGGCATGACACCAAGCTTTCCCAATAGGACCAGACCAAGGTAGCCGACGTTTCTTGTGCGCAATTTTCGATGGTTGGAGGGGAGATGCGTGTTGAGTTTATACCAATGAAATTAGCAACCCTACGAGACTCGACGTGGGAGGCACGAGATACTGGGGCTGCAGCACGAAGTACACCGAACGCTTTTATTCCTGCCTCCCAAATGATGGGCAAACGAACAAGGACACACTTTTTCTCAAAGAAAACAAATGATTAATGCGATGTCGCGTGCAGCTCCGGTGTTGGGTTTTCAATGAACTAAACCGCCTTCGATTTGCTTTGAGGTCGGTTTATCACGATCATGTTCCTGCCCACTGATAAATGCAAACCAAGAATACTCGTACCGGAACAATGCTTGACCGTGAGCATCCCATTGCTTTACTCCGTTCGCATCCAAGGAATGTACGTTTGTGTGCGCCCTTAGAACTTCGTGTCTCGCTCAAAACAAAACGTCGGTGTCGCCATTTTTTATCCCCCTACCCGAGGAGCGGCGTTTCGGACTAGGAGCGTCGAACGTAAATGCTGTTTTTTGCACGACCATTTTTGGATTTTTGTCCTTTTCCATACCGTGTGCTCCACTCATTCCGTGCATATCTGGTCTATTCAACACCACAGGGCGGACTATGGATGACGGGGACCCGCTCTCGCATCCTGCCATTCAGCTGCAAGTGTCTCCCCCCCCGTCTGCCGCTAAGGGGAGAAGCAGCAGCAACAGCAGCAACAGTAGCAGTGGCAGTGGCAGTAGTTTCAGCAGCCATGCCAGCACAGTCAGCGTTTGGCGACGTCAACAACAACAACAACCGAGACAGCAGCAGCAGCAGCAGCAGCGTGTGACACCGTCTCCTGAGTCGGGTCTCGGGGCGGTGGATCGAACAGTGGGGGGCGGAGAAGCAGATACGACAACAGCCCCCACGGCGATCAAGACACAGCACAGTAGCGATGGCGGACAGGAAACAGAGGCGGAGGAGGTATGTACGTGTCGAGAGGTCGAAAACCTTCAAGCAAAGCGTAATGGACACGGAACGAGCTTCCCACCACAAAGGCCCAGAGGGCTGGCAACTCGATCGATGCCAGGAGCCCTAACCTCCACCATCATGCAAATCCTCTTTTCCACTTTTGAAAGGCACCCTTCTTAGCCAACGGGTCGACTTCAACGGCCAAAAAGAAACGCACGCCGCGGGGTCCACCCTTCCAGGTCCAGCACCAAGAGCCCCTCCTTCTTCCCCACCTAGACACAACGCAAGGCGCCGCCGGCGCTGCCTTCCAGCAAGAGATGGGGAAGCTGAGCAAATACATTGATCCAGACCGGCATGTGGAGGTGAGTGAGGCGGAGGGGAAGGGGAAATGCCACTGGCAGAGGTAGAATAACGGCAAGAGATGCATGTGGCGATGTCGTGAGGAGGATGTGGAAGGGGTAGCAAGGAGGCCTCCTCAAATGAAGGAGCGATAAAGCCCTAATCCTCACCCCTTGTGTCCTCCTGCATCCAAAAAGCGGGGTCCCTACCACGGGAAATCGTACCCAGACTCCTTGACGTACGAGCCGGAGGACAGCGAGGTGTGGCGCACGCATGAGGTAGGGAGGGCGGGAGGG